AAGATTTAGTGGAAGATATTTTACATAAGTTTAAGATATTTTATATAGATAGAGGCTATTGTTAGACCTTTAAATATTTTCCAAAAGAATTTGTGTGTGGCCCTTCTTCGATTTTGTTGTTTGATTATTACCACTTGACAATCTCTTGTCTATCAGATACTATGATCATATACTATTTGCACTTTGCAGGATTACACATGCTTGCATTGTTGAATATGGAGCGATGCCCTGTTACTGCAGCATGCTTGGATTCTCTTTCAGGTCCATAAGAATAAGTTGCCTTACTATGATGTTGTATATATATATATATATATATGCATCATGCATGTTCTAGCATCTAATACTGTAGTTGTTAAATGCTGGTGAACCTAAGATATGCTGCTGCATTTGTGGAAAGAGATAATGTTAGTCTGAAGTCCGTGGTAGCTTAAGTAGGACAGATACAAATACAAATGGACGAACATGTTTTCACACCATTGCAATTTCAGAGAGATTTTAGTGGAAAAAACAAGAGGTGTCAGGGGGGGGGGTGTTAGTGAAAGAGGTAGGGAGTGCGTCTATGTGTGAGAGAGAGGAGGGGTGTTGGTCCATGTGTTTTTCTTTATTCAAACAAGAGAATGCTTCCTTGTGTTTTTCGCAGCAAAATGGAACATGATTTTGGTCCATGTGTTTTTCTTNATAGGATGGAGGGATGAGTACATGCTTGTATATTTCTAATTCAGTTGAAGGAATGTGATACTRCTTGAATGGTATATTTATCAGTTGTTAGTTCCTAATAAAGTATGGGGTCAATGGAAGTGTTTCTTGAGGTAAACAAACTCACATTGATACCAAAGGCAAGTATTCTTSTTATTTTTCTTAATCTCAGCATGTCAACTCTTTTGTTTTATGCAGCTATTATGGGTCTGCTTTATTTGAACTTAAGCAGATGTAAGTTAACTGGTAATGGATGTGATAAATTTTCACGTAAGTTTTCTATCTTTACTACACCTTTGTGTTGTGCTTATCCAGAAATTGTTTGTAAATGACTTTGGCTTCCTTGGTGCTTTCAGTGCTAAAGGCTTTGAAAGTACTCAATTTGGGATTCAACGATGTTTCAAATGCTGTTTTGGTACGTCTAAATGGTGGTTCCTGTCCTAAATCATCTTTTTATCTTTATTTATACATTGCACTTTCTCATGAGAACTTCCTTCTTTCCACCTATATTGGAAGAGCCTCAGCGTGCTACAAAGATGGATTTGTGCCCTAACAATTGGTTACTGTTTTGTCTTCAAGAAGGGGAAAGTGCAAACACAACTTTATAATAGTGAGTTACCTAAAGAACTACATCCATGCAGAGAAGCACCAATATGGATTATGATTTTGCATTTCTGTTTCAACCTATGTTCATGATTGGAATCACTCTTGGTGTAGCTCTAGGTGTTGTTTTTCCCCATTTGGCTATACTAATGTTTCAGAATTGTGATTCACCCGTGCTGGTGTAAATCGAACACATTTGTGGAGTCATTTAAATATGTTGGATTTTAAATATATTGAGTTTTAAACTGTCATACAATTTTTTTCATCGATAGTCTGTAATTGGAATCATAACTCTTATTTATTCAAATTGTATTAATATGTAAAGAACAAATATAACATATATCATCGTTAAATCTTATCTTATAAAACCAATGAAACTTCAAAATCGTTAAAATTCATGGCTTCCGCCGCAATGCGCGGGTACACAACTAGTATATATATATGAGTCTAATCAAATAAGAACTAATTAGTTTGTGGTAACTGTAATGTCTAATATCAACCACAAATCAATAGATAAATTAAGAAATTTATAATTTTAGTAATTTTTAATTAAAATTTTAATGTAAGGACATTTTAGGTATTTTCTCTCATTTCTCCTTTCTCCTCTCTTCTCTCTCCGTCCCCCGACCTTCGGCCACCGTTCTCCGGTGATACCACAGTGGTATCACAATGCATCTTATATGTGATTGGGTATCACAATGTGGTCGTTTGTGCGGTCGATCGGATATGTAACACTATGATATCACAAAGCATCTTATATGTGCTTGATTATCACACTGTGGTATCACCGGAGGACAGTGGCCGGAGGCCGGATGATGGGGACGGAGAGAAGAGAGGAGAGAGGAGAGAAAATACCTAAAATGTTTTTACATTAAAATTTTAATTAAAAATTACCAAAATTATAAATTTCCTAATTTATCTATTGATTTGTGGTTGATATTGGATCTCACGGTTACCACAAACTAGCCAATTCTCCCTTGAATGGGCCCATATATATATATATATATATATATATATATATATAAGGTATATTTCAAATGCAACCATGTCCATTTGTACAACCAGTGCAACCCAATTATTTGAGATATTTATAGAAATAATGAAAATTTATTTATTATGACTTGAATATTTATGAAAGATGAATAAGGTTCATTAATTATGATCAATACTTTATATTAGGAAACAATCAAAACTTCAATAAAATCTCTTATTCATCAAATTAAATGGACGGTTGAGATTGAGTTGTATTGGTTGTACAAATGTAAACTTCTATAAAATCACATATTCATCAAATTAAATGGACGGTTGAGATTGAGTTGTATTAGTTGTACAAATGTAAACTTCTATAAAATCTCATATTCATCAAATTAAATGG